GTGCATTTTGTTTTTTTTTGAGATGGACTATTCCTCTATCTCCCAGGCCAGAGTGCAGTGCCATGATCTCAGCTCAATGCAACCTCCGCCTCCCCAGTTCAAGTGATTCTCCTGCCTCAGCCTGCCAAGTAGCTGGGACCACAGGTGCATACCACCATGCCCAGCTAATTTTTGTAGTTTTAGTAGAGACAGGGTTTTGCCACATTGGCCGGGGTTGGTCTCAAACTTCTGACCTCAGGTAATCCACCCCACTTGGCCTCCCACAGTGCCAGGATTACAGGCATAGCCACCACCCCCAGCTGCTATGCATTGTTAAACCTCTTGATCACTGCATGGCTGCAGTGCAGCCACGCTTCATTCTTTCCAACAGTTGCATAAGATCCTGTAGTATGAACGCGCTACACTTTAACAGCGCTGCTGTACACATCGTGCTGTGCACACCCTGTGCCAAGGTGCACAGTTCTGTTAAATAGGACATGAACAGGTTGATGTCTCTATATAGGCTACATTGCCTTAAAGCCCTTTCTGGGGCTTTAGAAAGTTTTCGGAACCATATCTTTTATCAGAGCAGACAAATCCAGTAAGATGACAGCTCGTACACCGTCATCCATACCTTACACATCCTTATATTTATATCTACTTCAGTGGCTGGCACATGGTGGACCCTTGACAAAAGCTTGTTGGATAGATAAGGAGAAACTAGCTAGACACAGATAGAAAATGGAAGTGTTCATAACCCAAAGTTCCTAAAATTAGAAATCAGATCTTAAATTGGTTAGTGAATCAAGATTCCATATGATCCCAAGTTTTGTGTATCACATCTAGAAGCTCGGAAATATTTCACCAAGTTTCTGAGTTTGGAAGAGTTGTGAGATGAATGAAATTTCTTCTTTCTTTACTGTTGAAGTCTTCTCAAGGAATTTCATGAAATGAGGAAAGAAAATGTAAGACAAAGACTAAATACTACCTGACAGATTAAAGCAGGAAGTTACAGGCACATTTGCATTCATCTGAGCTTACAGAGTTATATTAAGTGCATTTTAACATAAAATATAGACCAAATATGCCCTGGGCCTCCACCCATTCTACAGAGGACATCCTTGGTGGGTGGGTAGAAAGGCACTGGAGCACATCTTCACTGCGCTTAGAATGGAGCCCTTCCTGCAGGCAGTGAGGCACATGGCAATTCTGTTCCTGAAGGTCCACAGGCAACTTGACCCAGTGAAGTACCACTGGCCTCGGAAACAAGTAGATGCAGGAGAAGGTGAAAGTGAGGCTGACTCCACAGACCACTGCCTACAATGGGGCATTCATTGCGCAGGTTGGGAAACAAGCAGGAGGAAGTCAGGAGTGGATGACTTCATGGGTAAAAGGTATAGAAGAAGCATGAATGAATGAATTTGTTAAAAGAAAATGTCTTTGAATTTCCACAAGAATGTTGCAATTTCCTTCTTAAATTCTGCAACAAAGGACCAGGCTTAGTTAATAGTATAACTAACATTTAGGTCTGTGAATACTCCCACGCTAAGAGAGGACCCTTCAGTCAAATATTCATTGAGCATGTGACAGCCAGGCCCTGGGAGTGTCCTTTTCAAAAGTGTACCGTAAACAAGCTGTCAAGCGAGAAGCTCCCCGACTCCCGCCCGACATCCCTGCTTGTGATGCTGGCCTGGGTCCTGCCTGTTCACTGGTCACTCGAGTCACCATTCTCCAGCTCCCCACGGACCAGCCTAGGCCCACCTCCTTGCCCTACTGCCTTAGGCTACTCCAACCTGGTAGTAACAATTTTGGGGGGTTTTCTTGAGAGACGGTCTTGTTCTGTCACCCAGGCTGAAGTGCAGTGGCATGATTTTAGCTCACCAAAGCCTTGACCACCTGGGCTCAAGGGATCCTCCCACCTCAGCCACCTGAGTAGCTGAGACTAAAGGTGTGTGCCACCACACCCAGCTAATCTTTACATTTTTTTGTAGAAACGCGATTGTGCTATCTTGCTCAGGTTGGTCTCAAACTCCTGGGCTCAAGTGATTCACCTACAGTGCTGGGATTATAGGCCTGAGCCACTGAACCCAGTAACAGTAACATTTCTGTACTAATTGGAAATGGCTAGAAAATCGGCTTTCAGGCAATGTTTCTTCTTGCTTTCTTCTATAAAGGAAAGATTTCTATCCCAACGTTTATATCCCAGCGCAGCCTTGGGCATCCTGGGTGAATAGGAATAGGACTTGCCTGCCAAGTGGAGCACTCTGGGTGAGCCTCTGGCACAGGCCTGGCCAAACACAGTCTTCACTAAGTTAAGCAGCTACAGTTTAGGACCAGAAAAGAAATTCACCTTTTAAATAGCAAAAAATCCCTGGATGGTAACAAGTTTTTTTGTGTGTTTTTCTTTTTTTTTTTTTTTTTTTTTTTTTTTTTTGGGAGACAGAGTCTCACCCTGTTGCCTAGGCTGTAGTACAGTGGCACAGTCTCAGCTCTCTGCAACCTCTGCCTCCCAGGTTCAAGTGATTCTCCTGCCTCAGCCACCTGAGTAGCTGAGATTACAGGCACACACCACCATGCCTGGCTAATTTTTTTTTTTTTTTTTTTTTTTTTTTTTTTACCGGAGACGGGGGTTTCACCATGCTGGCCAGGCTGGTCTCGAACTCCTGACCTCAGGTGATCCGCCCACCTTGGCCTCCCAAAGTGCTGGGATTACAGGTGTGAACCACTACACCTGGCCTGGTAGCAAGTTTTGGCATAAGAGTATCTAATATTTTTTGACTGCGATAGATTATACAACCCCAAGTTTATGAATATTGAAAAAGTTCCAAAGAATCAGAGCAAAGTCCAGGACAAAACAACAAAAATTCCTTTTTGTTCGGGTACAATACGCTGGTAACTTTTTCCTTTTGCACAGAAAAGGATGTCTGAGACAGAAGCATGCTGACTTTCACAGAACATGCCTGATTTTCATTGACGGGCAACCTAAAATGAAAGAGAATGCTTTAATTTTTTTTTTAATTGAGGGGAAAAAGTAAAATGCTTAAGACAGTTAACTCATTTTAACAAGTTCTCCTTATGGAAACTAATCAATTGCTATTAATGCCACAGTAAAAGCTGGGCATCAATGGCATCATTTTAAGGCAGAAATGCTTTTTGATTATGTTGTAAAGCTGATTCATTTAATTCTAGACCAATGACTTCAGTTGTATTTGGCTAAACAAAGCTCCCAGGGAACTGATGTTAAATTACGTCACAGACATGAGAACCGTTAATTAGAGAAAGAACACAAACCTCAGTTTCCTTTCTTTGAAACAATAAGGACAAAGGCAAACTTCCTATTAGACTGTTGTGTGTTCATCATGGCCTCACATGAGAGAACAGACATGAAAGAGATGAGGCGATTCTGTCCTCCTTTAACACCATCATCTGCCTGAACTCACCTCAGGCCTTCCTGTCAGGTGTCTGGCTCCCAGGTTCCTTTGAATCCAGTTTTTGATGTAGACAGAGGCTGTCTAGCTTCTGCATATCTTCTGTAAGGCCATTTCTAAGATCCTCATTGCTTTTCAGAAATTCCTTCACCATTTCTAGTCGATTTGAGAGCTGCAAGAGGAAACCATGCAATGTATAGCTTAGACAGTTTTGTAGCAGATTTGTAATTCAAATGAAAAACGTACCAGCTCCCAGTCTGGCTCCTACTCAGGTGCCCAAGAGACAGAAATCTTGGCTATAGGCATCTGTCCACAAGTTAAAGTTTGAAAAACAAAAACAAAACAAACCCTTTAAATCAAAGCATCCTCCACTCAAAAAATAGTGACCCAGGATAACCGGTTCTGGGGGTACACAAGGCGGTATTTGCTTATCTCCTTCCATTTTTTTGTGCTTTAAAACTTCCTGCCTTTACATGAAAGGGCTTCATTTTATACATACACACGTGTATGTGTACAAATAAAATTCCCTTTTCTTTGAATTCTGTACCTGAATTATTAAACATATACATGGATATATACATGTTCATATAAATACATGGATATATAAAAGTGTGTGTGTGTGTGTGTGTGTGTGTGTGTGTGTGTGTGTATGTGTGTTTTGTTTTTTTTGAGACAGAGTCTTGCTCTATTGCCCAGGCTGGAGGGCAATGGTGCGATCTTGACACACTTCAACCTTTGCTTCCCGGGTTCAAGCAATTCTCCTGCCTCAGCCTCCAGAGTAACTGTGATTACAAGAATGTGCCACCATGCCCAGCTAATTTTTGTGTTTTTAGTAGAGATATGTTTTTGCCATGTTGGCCAAGTTGGTCTCAAACTCCTGACCTCAGGTGATCTGCCCGCCTCAGCCTCCCAAGGAGCTGGGATTATAGGCATGAGCCACCGCGCCCGGCCGCATGTATATATATTTAATAGTAACAAATATATAGGTTCAAATCTCAAAATCAACACAGAGGTGTAAGATAAAAAGTTAGTCCTCTTTTCACCCCTACTGTTTTAACAAAAACAAGAAACAGGTCTTGATAACATTTACAACAAAAGTCCTGGGGTCATAATACAGTCACTGTTTTTCCTGATCCCAGATGCACATTTTTCCCTATTCTAACATCTGAAATAAGAGGGCATGTTACCATTGATAATGTCTTGTACTAAATTGGCAGCATTTTTTTTCTTTCTTAGAAGTAACTAAAATACTGGTATGTTTTACAATTGACAGCATTTTAGATTCACTGAAATCTGGTCTTAATAAATCCTCTGACTTTGGCAACTAACCCTAAACATGGATAATCATATAGGGTATGAACTTTCAGAAGACGTCAAATTTAATATATATAAAAACCTGACCTTCAACTTTTTAAAGATAACATGTAAATGAATCCTCACATTTTGATCAATTGAAATATTATAAGAAATGCCATGGTCTGCTGAAGAGAAAGCATGAAAAATGAGAATTTATCAACTCTACCCAGAGACTCTGTGACCCAGAGGACAAGCCAACTAATCCCTATTTCCTTTCAGTAAAATAGAGATAATGGGGGTTCAAAAATTTATAGCTGCCAGCTCCTCAGAGATATAAGATCTGCAGCACAGCAGATGGGAAGCCACAGGATCAGAAGGGAGAGATCTGCAGGCCAGCCCTCAGCCCCAGTGCAAGCTCCATGGGGCCCTTGCCTCACGTGCAAAGCAGGGATATGATAAGATGACTGCCAGGTTTCCTTCTGGCTCTCAACTGACACAAACTCATGTCTCTAGCTTCTGAAAGCAGCAGCAGAAAGAAAACTGGGGTTCTAATGGCATTATAAAATAAAACCAGATGAACTGAAACACATGGATTTAGAAAAGAACAGATTTAACATTCTAGTTCATCATTTTAAATACCTATGGGGTATACCATGGTGGGCACACCCAAAAAACCAGGGGTACCAAGTCCTTCTGCTAAAGGGGCTCACCACACTGAATGAAGCACCTGAATCAACGCTGGAATAGTTAATACAGGCATATTTACCTGCAAGGAGCACAGCTCCGTGAATTTGTATTTAATAAACCCTCCCTATGTTTAATAAGGTAACCAGCAAAACTAATTTCCTTGGACAAGGAGGAATGGAGAGGTGAAATGATTTTTCCAAGATCTCCTGGTGATCTAGAAATCTAATCCAGCCAGTGCTGGAATATTTCTGAAACTTACTGGAATATAATTCTACCACTGTTAATTTCTTTTATACCTTGGATGTGACATGGAGATTCATTCCTCCTGTACTTGGGAGTTTAGACCATCATTAGCCTGCAGGTCTTAAACTAGAAACATTGATGATCCTTCAAACATTCCACTCCCCTCCTTCTCCACCCTTTTCCAGCCCCATGCCATGCTCCAAGTAATCTCCCTGGCCACCAAGAACCATCAGCTCTGCCCAGGCACTGCCTCCAGAATCCAGCTCCTCCACAGCCCCTAGTTTTTGTTCTCTCTCACCTTCACATGACTCCAAGAGCCTTCTGGGTAGTTGCTAGCCACTCATCCAACCTCCTGCTACCACAAGAGTTAACTTTCTAAAAGCCATATCTGATCTTATCACTCTTTCTTGACTGTTTTTTGGGAATGAAGGTCAAACCCTTTGGCATGGCCTAGGAAACCTTTCAGCATGTCGCTTCAGCCCACTTTGCCACCCTCAAATCTGCCCATAGCTCCTGTGCTCACCTGTCCTTGCCTAGGCTCAGACTATCCTTTCCTGCCTTTGCAAGTACTGTGCCCTCTGCCAAGAACCTTTTTCCTTGCCAATTTGTCACTCTTATTTGATTCTGTGAGCCGCAGCTCAACAGCACCTTCTCGGCAAAATCTTTTTTGGCAATCCCCCTGACCAGCAAAGAATGTCTGCAGCATTATTTTTTTTCAGAATTTTACTGTAGCCCCTTACTACATTTTTCCACTTTGTGGCACAGATTAGGCACTCAAATGTTTGCTGTTTGCTGATTAAATGAAAATATTTGTTAAGAGGCAATATTAATCTGTGCCCAAAGCATATTCACACTTCTGGAAATTATTTGACTTATAAATCAAAAACGCAATTGGTTATCTGTTAAGATGAGCTACTCTTCCTCCCCAGCATCTTTCTTTGTGTTGTTTACTCACAGAGGATATAATACTTTTCTTTTACCTCTTCAGGCAACAGCTCTTGCTCTTCTGCTTGAAGATATATCTCTTGAAGTTTCTCCTTTAGTAGCTGCATTTCTATTTCATTGACTTGGCTGTCACTCAGGTAAGTTCCCATTTCACATTCACACCCATCTCGCTGATCTTCCTCGGGGATGTGAACAGCCCAGTCAGATGTCAACAGCTGAGAGGATTGCCATACAAATATATGAACTCATTTCAAGAAAAAGGCATTCCACTGGATTACTCAAATAATTTATAGTTAAACATAATGAACTGGATCCATATTAATAGTGCACTGTGACCACAGAAAAGCTTCTCAGCCCAGCATAACTGCAGATTTCATATCAGTATTCTTTCCCCCTGCTTACATTTTAACATTTAGGTTAAATCTAACAAACTTCAATTTTTAAATGTGTGGCTCTTGTTCTTTTCTCTCCCTTCATTCTGTATGCCAGAACTATTAAACATGATTTTTACCTGTTCTATTCTGGAATATACTGCCACAATGTCTGGAATGTTCTTGAATTCATCCAGAAAATTTTGGATCTTCATCTGAAAATCGCGAAGCCACGCAGAAGATACTTTCATCTCGGAAGAGTGCATGATCTCATTACGACATTTAATTACCTGCAGAAAGACAAAAACATAAAAGGCTTCAAAATCAAACAATGGGGTAAACTGAGATCTCTGACCCCTCAAAAAAATCACAGAAAGGCTTTGTTAATTACGAAATCAACAAGAGCGGTCTTCAGAAGAGAAGGGCTGGAACTTTCTTGGGATCATGGGTATAATCTGGCATGTACTTGTATCAGAGTAGAGGACACTTCACCCCTCCAGCCCTCCAAGTCAGATCCATATTTAGTTTCATCCTGTCTAAAGGACATATGCCAAGAAGTGATGTTCTCCCTGCGTCACAAACTGAAATGCCTTCAAGGGTCAGGCAGGTAGCCTGAGGAAAGGTGGCTATGTGTAATAGTAAGGGGTGATCTCCCTACTAAAAGACTGGTTTGGGACAAACTGGAGAGTAGAGGCCCTATCTGAAGGGCAGCCTCTACTTAACACGCAGCTTATTGCCATGGGAGTTATATGAGCCCTGTGTTCCCAGATCTCCTGATTTTTCATGAGAAACTGGAAATTTTGATTTTTGTGACAACTAATTTGAAATTCTAAAAAATCATGCAGGACAAATAAGACACGACAATAAGCCAGATTTTGGCCACAGGATTCTAGGAATAAAAAGATGGCTCCTGGGCAACAGCTGAGCCTTTTCTCCCTCACTGAGTCTCTGGAGCAGATTTCCAAGCAATCCAGAAGTTCCTAACATAACCTGTAGGTACCTGTCAGTGTTGTTGAGGCTTGAGGGGATGTTCAATCCCCTGCCACATGAATAATACATTAGTCAGGGTAAGAAATACAAATAAGCCTACAACTATCCTTAGCGCTTGAAGTCTTATGGCCAGCTGGATATTACACTGTCCCCTAAAATCCCTTAACTTAAAACAACCTGCCAAAGAGCAAGCTCATCGGCTCTGGGTATACCCACAGGATGAAGCAGACAATACAAAAATCTTTTAAATACTGTTGGAGCACCAGGAAGCTGGGTCAAGGGAGTTTCCCGATGTGGAAATCATGATGAAAAGAAAATAAACTTTGGCCTCTATCTTTAGCAAAATGGTTCTGTCTAACAATGTATTAATATATAATTCATATAGAGCCTCCAGTTTGGTTAAAAGATACCAAAGGGGTCAACTACTGTGATAGTCCTTTGTTTCTGCTGATGTCATAAAGGGGTCTCAATCCTGGTAGTTGCTGGCATGCTGACAAAAGATACATGCATTTTCTCTACCTATTATAAATAATCCAGCTATAGCTATATACTCTTTCCAATGATCTTCAGGGTAATAAATGTATGAGTTTTCTCTGGTGAACTAGAGAAAAATCTGAATTTCCCAGAGGAAATCTATCAAGCACAGTGATCTATTCTGACACTGTTATCCATCAATGTTCACATTTTCTTCCATTCCATATCATTTGGTCTTACAGCTGCTTAGCCAATGAGATTCAAAAAGGTAGGATTCAGATGTTGGCATACAACAGGTAGAATGATGCAATGTTCTGTATTTTTTTTTTTTTAAACAAGAAAAATTACTTCCCTGTTCTGTTTATTGCAGAACAGGGAAGAGATTTTTGGGTGCATCTACTTCAGTGGCAAATGGCACAATGAGTTGTCAGGAAACTAATTCGAGAGAACTGAAGGATGAGTCTCTTGATTGCATTTGCACTGGGGTTCTTGGACATCACAGAAGGTGCACATGATATGAGTCCCACTAGCTTGCTTAGCAATGCCAACTTTGAACCCAAGTCTAAGTTTCTTTATACACCACTGTTCTGGGGAGCTACTGTGTGTTCAACCTGCATGGCTGGCTTAGCATCACAGGGTGTGTCTCATGGCCGACGGTCACAGCATAGACCCAACTGACTGGGGTATGGTTTTCAATCTGACAGCTCTTACCTCTGTGACTTTCTTTCGATCAACCACGAAGTGATCGCAGGAGTTGATGAGACTTAAAAGAGCAACTGCATCACATTCCTCAGGTCCTCGTTTGTCTGCTAGTCCTCGGGGCATGAAGGCCTATAGCAAGGGATGGAGGAGGGGGACCTGAGCCTCTTCCAACTCTAGGAGCTGGAAAGGCAATGGTTACTTGTCTACTTTCCAAATGATAACTGAAATTCTCTTATGCACTGAGGTTTCAACTTAGAGCCTCATGTGCCCAAAATCCAAGTAGGAAAACAGTGTCACAGCTAAGCCTTGGCCAAGGGCAATAACTGAAGGGCTGTTCTATCCCTGTTATTAGAGACACATGATGTAACTGGCTTTCCATCCTGTCTTAATGGTATATAAACAGAAAGCATGAGTAGAAGACACCTTTTTTCTTTTCCTTACTGAAATTTCAGTGGCTGAGTTGTTAAATAAAAAGATTTAAAAATAAAATAAAACTGGACACTTTCTGAATGACCTGAGTAAGTTCAGTGTGGAAGTATTACATTAAGAGTTTGGGCTTTGGAGTGCAAACTGGGTTCAAATGCCAGCTCTGCCATTTGCCAACTGTGACTGTGGTTAAGTTACTCTCAGATTCCTCATCAGTAAATGGGGGATAACTGTCCTTATCTACTTCAAAGGATATTGTGAGAATGAAATAAGGGAATGCAGGTACAGCACAGTGTTGGGCACATGCTGGTAACCAGGACATGAATGTTGGGAGTTATTACATAGATGGCGCAAGGCGAGTAGGACCACATAGGAGTTACAGATGGAATCCCAGGATGAGATACTAGATACACCAGAAGGGCCTCAAGCTAGCAGGATCTTGCCTTTAGTAGGATTTTATGGCACAGACCCCCAAAATGGTGTTATGGGAAAGCTTGGGCGTATTTCTTTCCTGAAATATTTCTCAATTTATATCAGGATACAACAACTTTACTAGGCTAAGAATCTCAAGGATACACTCCTGCCAAGGGACTAGAACAAAAAGTTACTCGCAGTAAGAATTCTACATAGGATGGGCATAGTGGCTCATGCCTGTAATCCTAGCACTTTGGGAGGCAAAAGTGGGAGGATCACTTGAGCCCAGGAGTTTGAGGCCAGACTGGGCAACAAAGCGAGACCCCCATCTCCATTAAAAAAAAAAAAAAAAAAAGGCCAGGTGCAGTGGCTCATGCCTGTAATCCCAGCACTTTGGGAGGCTGAGGTAGGTGAATCAACTGAGGTCAGAAGTTCAAAACCAGCCTGGCCGATATGGTGAAACCCCATCTCTACTAAAAATACAAAAATTAGCCAGACATGATGGTGTGCGCCTGTAATCCCAGCTACTCGGGAGGCTGAGGCAGGAGAATTGCTTGAACCAGAGGTGGAGGCTGCGGTGAGTCAAGATTGTGCTATTGCACTCCAGCCTGTGCAAGAAGAGCAAAACTCTGATTCATAATATTAAATAAATAAAAGTAAAAAATCAGCCATGCATGGTGGTGTGTGCTGTAGTCCCAGGTACTCAAGAGGCTGAGGCAGGAGGCTTGCTTGACCCCAGGAGTTCAAGGTTTTTACACCACTGTACTCCAGCCTGGACAAGGGAGCAAGACCCTATTTTTTAAAAAAAAGTCTTTAAGAGACCTGTTCCATCGAAAACACATCTCAATAGGCAACTACAATGCCTCCTACAGGGCTACTCATGAAGGCGTTATGAAAAGGCTGGGTAAGTGCTCATGTATGCCAAGGAGAGTCAGGGCTACATTCCTGAGCCTCACATAATTCAGAATTTTGTATAGCCTGGCTGGCCCCTATCAACAAGTACAGTAGCTAGTACCATCACTATCTTTCTGTGCCTTAATAGCCACAGGCATGCTGACCCTCTGAAAGAAGTCTCTTATGGGCCAGGTGCTGTGGCTCACACCTGTAATCCCAGCACTTTGGGAGGCCAAGGCTGGCAGATCACCTGAGGTCAGGAGTTTGAGACCAGCCTGGTCAACACAGTGAAACCCCATCTCTACCAAAAATACAAAAACCAACTGGGTGTGGTGGCACGTGCCTGTAATCCCAGCTACTTGGGAAGCTAAGGCAGAAGAATCACTTGAACCCGGGAGGCAGAGGTTGCAGTGACCTGAGATCACTCCACTACACTCCAGCCTGGGCAACAGAGTGAGATTCTGACTCAAAAAAAAAAAAAAAAAAAAAAAAAAAAGTCTATTATAGTACCAGCTACTTCAGAGGCTGAAATGGGAAGACTGCTTAAGCCCAGAAGGTGGAAGTTGTAGTGAGCCAAGATTGTACCACTGCACTCAAGCCTGGGCTGCAGTGCAAGACCCTGTCTCAAAAAGGAAAAATTAAAATAAAAAATAAAAGGAACTGCTGAATTCGGCTACTGCTGGGAAGAAAATGCAAAGTTAGCAGGGTCTTAGTTACCTCCGAATCAGGTGTAGTTTTTCTTTTTCATTATTAGGTAGGTCCTGTCTGGCATTTTCTCACCAATATAAGCCAATCTATTCCATGTTAGAGTTTTTGTTTTGTTTTGGAGAGACAGGGTCTTCCTCTGTTACCTAGACTGGAGTACAGTGGCACAATCACAGCTCACTGCAGCCTCAAACTCCCAGGCTCAAACAATCCTCTCACTTCAGCCTCCTAAGTACCTGGGAGGATTATAGACATGCACCAACATGCTTGGCTAATTTTTTTGTATTTTTTGTAGACATGAGGTTTTGCCATGTTGCCCAAGCTGACCTTAAACTCCTGGAGTCAAGTGATCTGCCTGCTTCGGCCTCCCAAAGTGCTGGGATTACAGGCATAAGCCACTGTGCCTGGCCTTGTTAAAATGTTATTTTAGTAATTATTCCCTTTCTTCAGAACTGGAAGCCAACAGGGAGGCTCTGCTGCTTCCTTGCAGTGAAAGCAGGGCCTTAAAATTGTATTGCATACCGCCGTGTTCCACATGCCAAATGCACAGCAGTGAGAAACGTGTTATTGCCTCTCCCTATCCTCCACTGTCTCTTCGCTGAGTAGGAGATGCGGTTGGAAAATAAACAGAGGCCTGATCGTGCTGGGCCTTATTGGCTCTGGAAAGGTGTGAGGTTTATTCTAAGGCTATCAGGAAGCATCCAAAGGTTTTAGGCAAGGGTTATAGAACAACTTAATTCCCATTTGAAGACTGCACATCCTGCTGTGTGAAGGACCGACCACAGATGCTCAGAGCAGCAGAGGCCCGGTAGGAGAGGGTGCGAGTTGTGATGCGGAGATGGAAAAGGGGATTCCAAAAGTATTTTGCAGGTACAAACAAGGGGAGAGGGGTACCGAGAGGGAAAGAGATGAAACGAGTGATTCTGGAAAGTTGGTAATGGGGAATGGGCATAGGGTGCGGGGTAAAGACAAACGGTTCTACTTTAGAACTAAATAAAATGTGCTCCATAGGTGATGAAGTGGAGGGCGCAAGTAAGCAGTTGGATGTGTACATCTAGAACTCAAGAGAGAGAGCAGGGCTAGAGCCACCAATTTGGGAGCCAGTTATCATTTAACTCCACAGGCCTGGGCAATGTCACCAGAGAAGAGGGGAACAGAAGAGACCCAGCCCTGGGTCCCGAGGAAAGCCAAAAGACATTCAGAAGGAGGCTGAGCAGGAAAAGCCAGGGAGATGGGAGGAAAGCCAAGAGGGTTTCAAGAAGAGCAGCCAGTAGTGCCAAATGCCTCTGGGAGGTGAGAGAGACGAGGCCAGAGAACTGAAGGTCACAGATGCAGTGGAGTGGCAGAGGCAGAAGCCGAGATGGAGTGGGTTGACGAGGAAGTGGGAGCAGAGAAGAGAACAGGCGTGAAACCTCTTTTTTGAGATGTTCTGCTGGGTATGTATATGGGAGGCAGAGAAGTGGGAAGACAGCAGGAGAGAATGGATCAAGGGACATTTTTCTCTCTTTTTTTTTTTTTTCTGAGACAGGATCTTACTCTGTCACCCAGGCTGGAATATAGTGGTGCCACCACAGTTCACTGCAGCCTCAACCTCCTGGGATCAAGCAATCCACCCATCTCAGCCTCCCAAGTACCTGGGATTATACGCACACACCACCACAGCTCGCTAATTTTTTTTTTTTTTTTGTATTTTTAGTAGAGATCGGGTTTCACCATGCTGGCCAGGCTGGTTTTAAACTCCTGACCTCAAGTGATCCACTCACCTTGGCCTCCCAAAGTACTGGGATTACGGCATGAGCCACCACGCCCAGCCACACCCGGCTAATTTTTGTTATTTTTTTGTGGAGACAGCTATGGGGTTTCGCCACATTGCCCAGGCTGGTCTTGAACTCTTGAACTTAAGCAATCTTCTCACCTCTGCCTCCCAAAGTGCTGTGATAACAGGCATGAGCCACCATATCCAGCCTCTTTTAAAATCTTATTTTCCAAGTATTTATTCAAGTGTTTTTAAAAAACAGCTTTCTTGAGATATTATTCACCCATCTATATATTAAAATTCAGTGGTTTCCAGCATATTTACAGAGGTGTGCAACCATCACTACAGTCAATTTTAGAACATTTTCATTGCCTCAAAAAGAAACCCCATACCCATTAGCTATCATCCCTCATTCCTCAAAGTCCTGGCAACCACTAATATACTTCTGCTTCTGCACACTTGCCTATTCTGGACATTTCTCATAAATGGAATCAAAATGGAATTTATAAAATGGACATATCACAAAAATATGTGACTGGCTTCTTTCATTCAGCATACCGTTTTCAAGATTTATCCATACTGTAACATAAATCAGTACTGCAATCCTTTGTTACATTGCTACAGGAAAACAATATTCCATTGTACAGAGACACTACGTTTTAAAAATTCCATGCATCAGCTGCTGGGTGTTTGGGTTGTTTCCACCTTTTGGCTATAATTAATGGAGCTGCTATGAACATGTGTGTACACTTTTTTGTATGAATTTATGTTTTCATTTCTCTTGGGAATATACCTAGGAGGGGAATTGCTGGGTCATGTGGTAACTGTTTCTTTCTTTCTTTTAAAAAAATTTAAATAAACCATGGCTCTATTAAAACTTTTTCTATAGTGATGGGAATAAGCTGCAAGAGAGAGAGTGGACAAGTGAAGCCTCAAAGGCCTTGAGCAGGAGAAAAGGGATAAGATCCAGCAGAAGAGTGGAGGTATAAGCAATAAGAGGAGAGACACCCTTCCTCCTTTGTAGCAGAAGGAAACAATGATGCACATGGAGATAAGCTGGTGTTGGCAAAAAGAGGAAGTATAGTCAGCCCTCCGCTATCCATGGGTTCCACACTCATAGAATCAACCAACTGTGGATGAAAAATTCTCAGGAAAAAAAAATACAAAAGTAAAAATAGAGATTTTTAAAAAATATAGCATAACAACTATTTACATAGCACTTACATTGTATGAGGTAGTATATCTAAAGATGATTTAAAGTATATAGGAGAATGTAAGTAACATGCAAATACCACACACATAATTTTATATCAGGTACTTGAGCATCTGTAGATTTTAGTATCCTTGGGGGTCCTGGACACAATACCCCATGGATAAGGAGAGACAACTATGTATGTCCAGGGGCCTCCATCAACTCTGTAAAGCATGAGCAAGGGTGGAGGAACAGGAGCGGGAAAAGCAGTAGTCTCCAGAAACAGAAGCCTAGTGAGAGATGTGGCCAGACCACTGGGGCTCATGATCAAGAACGAAAGCGAAACCAGTCAGCTCCCTTGTGAGATTCTTTCCCACTAAGCAGAAGCAGACAATGTTGTCATCAGGACTGGAGTTGGGCCAGGCAAGTTCAGAGAAAGGAGGAAAAAAAGCTGAGATAACAGCAAGGGACTGATTATAACGACGGGCCATGGAATCTGGGCTAGCTAAGGTGACAAAGGCAGGCAGGAGGGCAGAGGTTGCTGGGTATTGAGGAAGCAGTAGAAGCCTCAAAGAGGCGGAAGTAGTATGGGGCCCAGGGTTGGGGGCAGGAGCGTGTGAATAAGTGTGCCAAAGGCTAGCAGGATGTTACACACTGATACTTCCTGTGCTGACAAGGTCCAGGGTGTGGGCATGCAAGCAGGAGGCTGAGGGGGAGTGGAGCAGAGGATTAGAATCAGGAGCCCAGAAACTGAGATGATGGGGTTGGACTTGAAGTCTGCAGGTGACAGCAACCAAGAGGAGCAAAGAGTGGTATAAGGATTCCAATGGTGTGAAAGCAACAACGGAGACCAAACAGATGAGGGACAGGCATTGTAAAGGGCAGAGTTTTCTTTCTTTCCGTTTTTTCTCTTTTCTAGGTAAAAGCAGAAGTCAGCAATGCTATGGCTACAGTGGAAAAAAATGGGGAAGAAGGTGTAGCTGTGGTGGGTTTACTGGCTCGTGATACCCAAAAGTCTGGGGACCCCTGATACAGTTTAATTTTTTAAGACAGGGTCTTGCTCTGTCACCCAGGCTGGAATGCAGTGGCCTGATTACGGCTCACTGCAGCCTCAACTTCCGGGGCTCCAGCGATCTTCTCACCTCAGCCTCCTGAGTAACTAGGACTACAGGCGCGTACCACCAAGCCCTGCTGATTTTTGTATTTTTTGTAGGAAAGGGGTTTTGCCATGTTGCCCAGGGTGGTCTTGAACTCCTGAGCTCAAGTCATCCTCCCACCTTGGCCTCCCAAAGTGCTGGGTTTACAGGCACGAGCCACCGCACCTGGCCCCAATTCCTTTCATTTTTGAGACTGGGGAGCACAGGCTGGCCCAGTGTCACACACAGCAGCTGAGCCAGGACTCAGATCACCTGCTTCCCAGGCACTGCTCCTTCCTAGTGCCCACTCTGTGCCTGCTGATAACTACTGGCATGTAGATTGACTGCTAAAGTCGATGTGTGTTAGGAAGCCACTTCTGGCTGTTCCTCTCCATCCCTTACTGAGCAAAAAAATTTCCCACTCAGTCCACTTAGTAAGTGACATTACCAAGATCTGAAGACAGATCCGGCTGCCTACCCCATTCCCAGCTCCCCAAAGTGCCTTTAGCTGGGCACTTAAGGTCTTTTCTATTTTAGCCCTAACTTCCCTTGGCTTACTCTGCCTTATGGCATCCTTTAGCCAAAAACAGCTGATGAGCTGTTCAGCGAGCCTACCCTCAAACAGACCACACTAGAGCTCCCTCCCTGCCTGTGCTCATAATGCTCGCTCTACATCTTGCCCCAGCATCTCTTCTACAAATCTTTCCTATAACTTTCCAAGCAGGGACGACAAACTCAAATGCCTTCAGGAAGCAGATGGGTAGAAGAAAGCTTCTACTTCACTAAACTGGGTTGGGTCCCCCATACCAGCCCTGAACCTCCTAGACCCTTGATCAATCTCTCTCTCTGCATTTGTTTACGAAGCCCCGGCGTCCACAAGACCAGATAGCCACCCCAAGTGCTGGGTGACCCGCTACCTGCTACCTCCTCCTTCCATCCCGGCCTCCGGCGCTTACCTTGGCCACCTCCCAGGCATCCACGGGCCAGAGGCCCGGCCGGCAGTTTCCCCAGTGCACGTCTCCATTTCTGTTGACGTGATGTCGCAAAATCTCCCGTTTCCACTCAGCGCACACCTCACACTGTGGCTGAAACTACAGGGGGCAGCGGTGAGGAGGGGCCCAGAAGGGAGGAGCGTCGCGGTTGGCCCCGCCTCGCGGAAGGAACTGGACACTTGGGCTCTGGGTCTGGGACAGGAACAGGGAAGAGGAGGGGCGGGGTGGGGGCAGTGGTCAAGGCCCGGAGCCAGGTGCTCACCTGGCGGGCGCGCGGACTGCACCGTGAGCCGCTGCGGCAAGCGGCGCGCGGACCCAAGCCAGAGACTGCAGCGAGTAGGCCGCGGTGGAAAGAGAGTACCTCGCGGCCGACGAAACCCTGCAGGCAGCTGCGCAGCAGCAGCAGGCAGTGACCCGCCTTCACCCAGTTCTTGTACTCGGCGCAGTTAAGGCGCGCCGCCAGCTCCGACAGCACCATGACTCACTTGGAGCCAGGACTCTGCGGGGAGTGGCGGACCGCAGTGCGCCTGCGCGGCCCCCGCGCGCCTGCGCGGCCCCACCAGGAGGCGGGGTTGGCAGAGATCGTGACGCGTGACGCCGACCCCGGGGCGGGGCGTCTTGACATCCGGGTCACGTCGGCTCCACCCTACTCAGGTGACGTCTGATGTCTAAACGTTGGTGCTTGTGAAGCAGCCACTCTGAAACCCTTAGGCCGTCTTTGTCCCCTAGACTGAGATCCTGCCAGCATCCGATTTGACTTTCCTCTCCCAATGTACGGGCACATTTTTTTAATTGCACAGATGTACAAGGTGCTCAGGGAACATTGCTTTAACCGCGTATGTTCTTTGCATTATACAATTCTATAGTTACTGGTTCCTAAGCCCACACACCAGCTGTAGCAAATTGCGGTATTAGTGAAACGTGACTGCGGGCTGCCTGCGGGTGCCAAGCTGACCCCAAGCTCAAAATCCCCAGCCACTGGATCACCTAGAAGGGGGCGTTTGCCTGTTTAGGGCAAGACATCACTTGGATTCTAGAGGGTTGCACACCTGAGCTTGGATAAGGGCATCCTGAAGCACCCAGCAAAGGTCAGACGATAATTATCTAGTAATTTTGGTTATATGATAATTAGTACTCCTTGCACATGGAAGTCTAAGTTCCAAAGAAGTGCCACAAAGGTCAGAAGGCATTGGATTGTCAACTCCAGGTGACAAGTCAGGTCAGTTTTAGTTGTTTTTAGTGAGCTTTCTGAGCTTGGAAAACATGTCAAAATTATGTGTAGTTAAAAGCCTCTGAGGAAAGAGTCTAAACGTTAAACCTTCCCCTGACTGTGGTTCACAGCAAAAAATGCCCAGTGTTTAGGAGCACTAGCTCAGTCAAACTGCCCCTTCTTAGCAGTTTGATCTTAACAACCTTAATTTGATCTCAGGCAAATTACATTTCTCTGGGCCTCCATTTACTCATTTTCAAGAGGAGGATATTAATAACCTACCTCATTGGGTTGTTGTGAGGATTAAATACACATTGAAATACTAAGAAAATGTCTAGCACATAGCTCTCAGTAAATACTTGCTATTATTTTATATCGACCTAAATGTGCCCTTTCATCATTCAGTTATATTTCTGGACAAGGTATTTTAACAAATCACTGGCCACTTGGAAGTGGAGGCAACTTACAGAAAATTGTGAGCGTATCATGGCGCACCTCCTGGCGTTGTGCAGCACAGTGCTGGCTGCCCTCTGCTAATTCTGTTTTAATAATCTCAATGCTAAATCCATCCTAAGTAAATTCAAATCACATCCTTAGACACACTGTCCATTCTCAAACCAAATGAAAAAAATTCCACAAGAAACAATGAAATACATGTTAACATTTTCCCTGTGTCCCTTGAATGTAAGTTCTCTTAAAATTTTCTGTATACTGATTTTATATCAAGAACACTTGGATGATAGATAAATATTACGGTAAAATGCAATAGGCATTTCTTTTGGGGGGAAAAACTATGAAAGGAACAGCTTTTTTAACTGAAATTGGATCAGAATCCAGAGTAGCAAAGTTATAACTTCTTGAAGTTTCATCAAATTAACCACAGTCCAAAGAATGGCTGTCAAGCATCCTTTGGCTGAACAGATACTGTGTTAATTAGAACATAGTTATTAGTGGTTCTTAAATTCAAATATTTTAGCTTATGCTTGCACTTAGCTCACTCAGTTAATTTTCAAACATAAGGTGTGGCTCCTGTTATTAACTTGACATGTTCTGTTGAAGCTCCCACTTTTCTTCTAATTCCAGTACTTTTATACATTCTGAAATGGCATTTCAGCAGATGGAAAAATGAAGGTGGCAAATCAGGACCAATTTCTTATTTCAAGGTTAAATTAATACTAAACCAGACTATTAACGAAAACGTCTTCATGAAAATTAACTAGAGAGAGTTGGTAGTTCTCTGAAACTTTGTATAAAGTTTATTTATTTCTGTAAATACTAAAATCACATTGAAAACACCTTAAAGTTAAGTCCCAACCCAATTATTAGAGAAAATCACTATGGGCATCCAGTCCCTTTGATTGAACCTGCGTAACAAAAGAGGCAAAAGACATGAATTGTGATGAAACTTACTATTCAAATGCTAAATGTTTTCAAGCTTTAATAAGGTATATATCAATTCCAAGTACCAAGCATAATATAAAAATTCAAATTCATGAGTTTACTCTTAGTAAGCATCAAAAGCAAATTCCGTTCACTGAATCCTATCTTCCTCTTGATTGACACAATGCATTCAGAGATGAGTTATAATTAGGAAAAAAGAGAGTCCATTGAATGCATCATGTGTAAAAATGCAATTAACATTTCAAAACCACATTAAAATGGAAAATACCTAAAAAGTTAACTCTTAATAAAATTATTTGAAACAATATTATCCTGCAGATAAAAATACATTTCTTATATATACATGTAGATTTCTACATGAAAGAAAAGATTCAGCTCCAAATAGAAAAGGGCTGACCCTTGATAAAGACATCTTAGATTGCCAAACTGATGTGATTACACTGTTAAGAACTAAACACAGAAGGATAAAAAGGTTAAGTTAAAGGAAGGATAAAAGTTTAGTCAACTGCTCCCGAACAGTGGCAGAGTTGGGTGAGAAGTGGGAGATGAAGGCAGAAACAAGACAAAGAAGAAAGGCAAAGAAGGCCTCAACTCTGATTGAAAATGAGTGGAGAACCAAGCAAAGTTGAGAACAGATATGATACAGTTGCAGTCAGATGCTTGAAACTAGAATTTGGTAGCTGATAGTTATAGAAGCTCAATTAAATCATCTTAAAGTGGAATTAGACAAAGCATATACATTTTAATGGAGAAACAGTATTACAGTGACCAGATAACTCAGCACGGTATCATTTAAAAAACTTTCCTAAATAACATGAAGTTGGTAAAAGACCTTTGCATCAGATCATGTTCTTTGAAGCTTAAAAAAGTCCCTGACTGACTAGGAAGACAGCACAGTGCTCCAAAGAAGCTCTGCAGAGATGTATCAGTACCAAAAACTCCATTTGACACTGGACAGGCCCAGAATCCTGGATTCTTCAAAATGAGGAGAATGGACCAGGTTTCTTCCAAGCAAAACATTCTATCATTTTGTTGACAATGAATTAAATTGAGATTGTTTAGAAAAATCCCAATTTTGGTGGGGAAGGCAAGGAGGAGAAGTAAGATAAAGAAAGCTCACAGAAACTTCATGCAGGAGTACAGCATTAAACTTCTTTGTTTCCTAATTAATGTTGTATGCAGAAGTATTCTGTAAACTAAATTTGCCTGACAGAAAAGTTCCCACATCCTCTTCAGATGAGAATGATTGCATATGGGATCCTATATCAATATGAACCACATACTTTCCTTCTCAAAGACTAAGTTCCTTATTTTTCACCAAATCCTATGTACTGAAAGACAACTGAGGTGCTAAATGTTAACCACTAGTCAAGTTAGGAATGTCTGAAGAAAATAAATTAACCTTGACATAAAGAAGATGTTTTTGGTCAAATTTCAGACATGTATTATTAGAAATTAATTACTGGCTCCATTCACCAGGTTAAAGATGAAGGGAGGGCCTAAGCTGTCTCTAGAGTTTATATACACACAAGTGAGTGTCACTGTTTTGTTTTGTTTTTTACCTAGTTTTATTAAATATTGCTTCCCTGGGGTGTGTTTATAACAACTCCCAGAACACTTCATGTGAGGATTCAAAGCGGTCATATTAAAATACAACTTCAATATAAAGTTTATCACAGTTTTACAGTATTCAAAAATGACAGACCTGCCTTAAAAAACAAAACAAAAACCAAAAAAAGGACTATTACACCCAAAACATAAGAAAACAATTAAATAAACAAGTTTGGCATTTCATAACTTTATAGTATAAAACAGAATATTAAATCTATTACTGGCAAACGGACACCGATTTATTTCCTACTTTGAAATGTGTCCCATTTAAACACACTATACAAGTTCATTATACAAAAGATTGATGATCATTTTGATGAAAGAAGTGCACCCTGAAAATTTTTGCCAGTTTAGAATATTTAGCTCTTTAAAAAAAAAGTCCTTTTCCTTTTTTAAACTGAGGGCTGAATTCAGATTTATTTTTGTTGTTTTGTCTCATCTGTCAGCCTTCCTGGTTTAAAAACAATAGTGTCTATGGACGCCCACCAGGGGGCAGTGTAAGATTAGCCATTAAATCACGAACAGCTGCAAATATTGTGCATTCACCTGCAACAGAGAAAAATGGTCATTAGCTATTCGCAATACAGGAAAGATGATGTTAACACACCGGTGGGGGAAGGGGTAATTAAATCTAAAATTAGTAAGAACTCGAACTATCAAAATAAAAGAATTTTAACTGCCCAGATTATTGGGGATTAAGCTGTGGTGTTAAGTATCAGATTATATTTGGTTTGGGTTTTTTTTTCTCAGGAGGAAACTTGGAGCAAGTCCCAGTTAGGTTTGAATTTAGGAAGATAAGCCTAGAGTTCCTGTTTAGAAACACTGTAACATCAGATAAGCCTTTGAAGTTGGGCTTTAAGGCTATTGAGTGCTTATGGGCATTTGGGATCTTATGAAAATATCTAGTTTATATTTATGCATTAGTTACAACTTTGGTGGTATCTTTCAAACGTTGCATTAAAACCTAGATAAAAATGTCTATGACAGCCGCTGTCCAATAGAACTTTTTGTAATGATGGAAACGTTGTATAAGTGTGCTATGGCTACCAAGAACTTGTAATATAGCTAGTGTGACTGAGGAACTTACTTTAAAGCTTTATTTAATTTTAATTAAATTTAAGTAGCCACATGCTGGCTAGTGGCAGTTATATTGGACAGTGCAAGTCTCGGACATCTATTGGAGTTTTCTCTCAAAATTCAAGGAAATGGTCAACTTCCAGAGTTCAACATATTAATTAAATACAAAAATAATTTTTCTTAAAAGCACTTCACCAGAAGAGAAGTGATGGGTGTAGGAGGTGGGGTGGGAGACTGAAGTCTGGTGCACCAACAATCCAAAAACACGATTTGTGGGTGGGGAAGGTGCTGGCGATTCATCCTCTCAACTTCCCCTTTGCTCAAATAAACCAAATACTCTGCTTCTTGTAAATATTACAGGTATTTAAATATTATAAACCAAAAGCTGGATCCCTTCCTCTAGAGCATGGTCTAAACACTGTATACAATGGCTGGAAGTGGGAGAACTGAAGACCTCATATGAACCATGGCCTTTCAGCAAAGGGCAGGGTGTGCAGTGATCCTGTGCACTTGAGAAGGTACAGAAAGAAAAGGAAATCCAAAGGTCTGCCCAGTCCAAGGGGTGGAAAAAAAGGAAAACACTTCCAAAATATCTCAACAATTTCTTAAAAGGAGAAGTGATACTGTTTTTTAAAAAACATATTTTCATTATTGATAGGCAGGAAAACTTGCTTGATCCCAATAGGATCAAAACATTTTTCTTTTAAATTCCACAAGACATAATACATAAAAACACATAAGATAATGATAGCCATCTGCTTGTGAAGGAATGGTGTTTATTATCAAGGTTCTACTGGACTGTTACTTTGAGAATTCTGATAGCTTTAAACTTTGATTCTTGAGGATCTATTTTTAGCTGAAAGAAGAGAGAAGTCAAAGGATGAAAGCAGAAAATTTTAAGAAGTAGAAATATTACAACAAAAGCAGCACACCCTTCTCTACTGCCCAGTGTGCCCAGTGTATTCCTTATACACTAAAGTGAGAACTTGCCTACCTATCCAATGTGGGGAAACAAACAGCTAAACATATCACTTCCCTTCTGAGTCCTAGTTTAGAAAACTTTGGACACTGTAGTACTTAAAAATGTTTCAGAGAACAACTTTCCCTCATTTAAAAACATAATTGTTATTTAACTGTTCTAAACAGAGAGATACAGAGAACTTCCTTAATATTAGAAATCAGCAAATTTTAAATTTAAATTTCCTTAATATTAGAAATGAGCAAAATGGAAGAAAAGTTCTCTTTGCTGAGCTTTGTATTTTGTAACCCCAAATTTAGCACTGCCAGGAGTTACATGTTAAGTGTAGGCTACTCCATTATAGCAGGGACCTTGTTTATCTTTCTAGAAACATTCTGATTTCCTCGGAAATGTTCAGTTTGAGAGCTTCATTGTGCACATGGTGAAAAGGTCCACTTGCACCCACCTGACACTTTTATAAGAAGCCCAAAAAAGCAGTGATGCCATTTGTATCAGCTTTTATTCTTCACAAAACATTTAGAAGATACAGAACTTTTAATGGTATTATTCTATTCATGATTGAAGCATGAAATATGAGAAACCAACATGCATTTCAACTTTGTGATGTACAGAGTGGCAGGTATTGATGGCAGGGCAGGAATTCACAGCCATGGAAAATTCTATCATCCTAACCTAGGGCTTTGTGGCAATGTGTGCTATAAATACAAGCTTCTGGCATTAGCAACTGGGTCAGTCCCAATAGTAAATCACTAACAAAAATAAAGTCCAGGCAGCAGAGAAATGGACAAAACTGAAAGCCAGTGAGAAAGGAAGAAAGCGACAGGCAGACATTAAGAGGGCCACGGCAACCAGAGCTCTACTACTAGGACTGGGTGGTGGAGTAGGTAAGGAAGGAGAAGAGAAGAGGAGAAAGGGGGGTCTCTCAAAAGAACTTTTACAACATATATGCAATAAAATATTGTCTACTGGTCATGTACCTTGTCGTGGAGGATTCATCTCTGCAAACCTCTTCAGAATGTTGCTGACCATCATGGGAGCAGCAACAGAAGAGTTCTGCTGTCTGGGAATGTCTGCCTGCTGGGTTGTACCTGAAGCCATGTCATAAATGATTGGAACTATAATACTAACAGGTTCTTGGGGAGGGACCGATGTTTTCTGAGTTAGTTGAAGCTGTATACACACAACACACACAAAGAGAATAAAAACATCATAAAGCATCTGTCTAAATGTATCAAAGGTACTATTCATTTACTATACTTTCAGATTAAGATAAGCAAGCAAAAGAAAATTACACATGACAAGAAAAGTGACAAACAACTGAATGTTATGGTTAAGATGCAACTGTGCCACACAATTACCTAGTTCAATATATTTCTGTTTATTACTAAAGGAACCAGGATCCCATGACATCTATGCTAACAATTAAGGAATCCTGGCCTCTATTTGGCAGCAAGAGATAATTTATACAGTTATCCAAAAGTTGCTCTATTATCCTCATGTGGCTTTTTCCTCAGAAGCTCTGTACATGCACAAATGCTGGGTGGTATACTTACAAAAAATAACATTTTGGATTTCAGCACCACAGCGGGTGTCCCAGGAGGTGCAATCGGCGGTGCACTGGGAGGGATGGTCAGGCAAAACTGAACATTCCATTTTAGCTGTGTTGCCTGGTCAGGGAACTGTTTTGTGGGGGGCGGAAATCAAGAGAAAGGCATATAAACATTTAAAATCATATTCTAGTATGGGAGTCTGAGAGGTTAGAATTTTATTTTATATCCAATTATTAACAGAACATAAAAGTTGATAACCTGCACTTTTTCAAAACAAATATATACAAGAAGTTGATAACTGAAAAATCAACTGTGGATTTATGTAGGATTTTCCCCTTGCTTCCCTCCCACTTCGTTTATTCCTAAGGCCTATGGATTTGGCTTCTGCAATGTCTCTGACATCTATTTCCTCCTCTCTATATTCATTGAGGCCACCATATGCAGGGCTTTGTTACTTCTCCTGTGCTCCCCTAACAGCTCTTTCCAGTGGCTGCCTCTTCCTATACCACCATCAGACATAAGTCCTACAACATGGTTCTACTCAAGCTCACAAATGTTCAGTGCCATTTAGTGACACATGCTGTTCCCCCCCCACCCACAACTAAGGACCAACACCTAGCATTCAATGTCCTTCTTAACTGTGCCAATCTAGACTTTGCAGTTCTGTTTCCAACTCTTTCCCTAAACAAACTAGTCAAACTGTGTGAAAGATTTTTAAATTATATCCACTGATGCTTTTTTAGCCACAAAAATATTTACACCTTTAAAAATTCAAATAGATTTCTTTTTGACATAAATAATGTTTCCTACAGCCTCTTAGATCAGAGGCCAAATATTGAGACTATTAGCAAAAGAACACTGTTGCCCCAATATTTATAGTAAAACGCTAACTAGAAAAAGGAGTAAGGTAACTGAAGTTACTCAAATCAACACTAGAAACATTAAAATGAAAAGACCACTGTAAGATTGAAAAACATATCAGCTGCCATCTGGATTCCATCTATATAATTGCATACTTTCACAGGAAAGAATTCAAAATCTCCTATTCAGAGAAGATAGATTATTTGATAAATGGGCATCTGAAAAAGTTGGATCCATACCTCCTCACATTTGACACCAGAACAAAATGAGACCCTGTCTCAAAATAAATAAAAATAGATCAAAAATTTAAATAATTGAAAAAATGAATCCATATCAGTATTAGAAAAAAAAACTTTGGGAGGATTATTTCAAAATCTAGGAGTGAGAAGGTCTAACAATCCAGGAAAACTTAAAAACCAATATTGATACATTTCATTATTTATTTAAAAGAAAATTTTACATAGCTAAACCTACCAAAAGTCAAGTCAAAGCACAAATGACAAACTAGGAAAAAATATGTACAATGAATATCCCAAGGGACTAACTTCCCTAATGTATATACCAAATTCCTACAAATCAAAAGACCTAAAAATCCTATAAACCAGAAAGACCCAAAGTCTTTTAAAGACTAATAAAACTGTTAACAAAGATGTGGGAAACAGCCAGTACTCTCATTGCTGGTGGGAATATAAACTGGCATAACCTCTATGGAGAACAATTTGGCAAAATCTACCAAAATTAAAACTATATATATATATCCTTCGACCCAGCAATACTACAGGTATACTGGCACATCCATTAAAAGGCTCTTTATTGTGGCACTGTTTCTAACAGCAAAATATCAGAAGAAACCAAAATGGCCATCAAATGGGGACTACTTAGCAATTTTAATACATTCATCTAATGAAATACTAAGTTTTGTTAAACTAAACTAAACAAAACAAAGACATCCTTTATATACTGATATGGAAAGATCTCCAAGATTTGTTCAGTGAATAAAGCAAGTTGCTCCTCCATTTCAAGCAATATGCCAGGCTAGATATCCTGGAAATCACTTTCACCACAAACACGAAAAGTACTGAGGACGGAAAGCCATTTTTTTATTTTTTATTTTTTGAGACAGAGTCTTGCTCTGTCACCCATGCTGGAGTGCAATGGTGTGATCTCGGCTCACTGCAACCTCTGCCTCCCAGGTTCAAGTGATTCTCCTGACTCAGCCTCCCGAGTAGCTGGGATTATAGGTGCCTGTCACCATGCCTGGCTAATTTTTTGTATTTTTAGAAGAGATGGAGTTTCACCATGTTGGCCAGGCTGGTCTTGAACTCCTGACCTCAGGCCTGCTTTGGCCTCCCAAAGTACTGGGATTACAGGCATGAGCTACCACATCCAGCCAAAAGGCATCTTTTTAAATGCTGTTATAGATTGAATGAATTATGCACCTGAAAAAGACATAAGTCCTAACCCCCAGCACCCATGAATATGATCTTATCTGAAAACCAGGTCTTTGCAGATGCAATCAAATTAAGATGAGGTCATCAGAATGGTCCCTAATCCAATATGACTGCTGTCCTTTTATAAGAAGAGAATAGACAGCCAGAGATACATACGGAGAGAACACCATGTGATGACAGAGGCAGAGGTTGCAGTGATGAGTCTATAGGTAAGGAATACCAAAGTTCACTGGAACCACTGAAGCTAAGAGAAACGCATGGAATAGATCCACCCCTACAATCTTTAGAGGGCATGGCCCTGCTGACCCCTTGATTTAGGATTTCTGGCCTCCAGAACTGTGAGAGAATACATTCCTCTTATTTTAAGCCACTCAGCTTGCGGTAATTTGTTGTAGCAGCCCTAGAAAACAAATACAAATGCAGATTGCGCTATGCAGAAACTAAGGGAAATCTCCAAAGGGCCAAAAACAAACCAAAAACAGATATTCAGTGCACTGAAGGCAGCTGCTGCCCATGGAGCATCCTGCTGTCACTTTGCACTTCAGATTGATAGATTGACTGATTTTTTTGGAGACGGAATCTCACTCTGTCAGCCAAGTTGGAGTGCAGTGGCACGATCTCAGCTCACTGCAACCTCTCCCTCCTGGGTTCAAGCAATTCCTGCCTCAGCCTCCCAAGTAGCTGGGACTAGAGGCATGCACCACCACACCTGGCTAATTTTTTTGTATTTTTAGTAGAGAAGGGGTTTCACCATATTGTCCAAGCTGGTCTGGAACTCCTGAGCTCAGGCAATCTGCCCGCCTCGGCCTCCCAAAGTGCTAGGATTACAGGCATGAGCCACCGTGCCCAGCCTTTTTTTTTTTTTTTTTTTTTTTTTTTGAGACAGTCTCACTCTGTTACCCAAGCTGAAGTGCAGTGGGGTGATTTTTCTGCCTCAACCTCCCAAGTAACTGGGATTACAGTTGCCTGTTACCACACCTGGCTAATTTTTTGTATTTTTAGTAGAGATGGTTCAAGACCATGTTAGCCAGGCTGGTCTTGAACTCCCGACCTCAGGTGATCTGCCTGCCTTGGCCTCCCAAAGTACTGGGATTACAGGCATGAGCTACCATGCCCAGCCAAAAGGCATCTTTTAAAATGCTGTTATGTATTGAATTGTGCACCTGGCCTGCACTTCAGTTTTAATAGCAATTCAGGACACAAAGTCTAGGACCATTAAAGGTAGAGAGCCAGATTTTTTTTTAATTATGTGTTATATACATGAACCATCTCATAATAAAAATGGAAAAAAAGTACAAAACAGGATGTGTAAATGGTACCATTTCATTTAAAATATTTATGAGAAGGCCGGGCACAGTGGCTCATGCCTGTAATCCCAGCACTTTAGGAGGCCAAGGTGGGTGGATCACTTGAGCCCGGAAGTCTGAGACCAGCCTCAGCAACATGGCGAAACCCCATCTCTACAGAAAGAAAAAAAAAATAGGAAAAATTAGCCAGGCATGGTGACGTGTACCTGCAAGTCCCAGCTACTCAGGAGGCTGAGGTGGAAGAATCACCTGAGCACCGAAGGTCGAGGCTGCAGTGAGCCAAGATCGTATCACTGCACTCCAGCCTGGGCGTCGGAGTGAGACTCTGTCTCAATCAATCAAAAGTTTATGACAATGTTATTTGCTATGGGTAACCCCCCATATAGGCACCGAGGAATGAGAGCTAAGCAGAACCCTGGCACAGTTAGGGCTTGAGGAATATCTCACTTTATAGTGTTACTACTCAGCTATTTCCTTTTATATAATCCTTTACATAATCATATATTAGTTTATAGAAATAGGGCTTGAAGTCTCCCTTTATATAATCCTCTATCTATAATCATATAATAGTTGATAGTATGAGTGACTGAAGAATATTTCCCTACATATATACCTATAATTATATCTTAGTTCATAATCAGAGGAATGCCTAGAGTGGACACAGTATAGAGCATTAATTAAAGATAAGCAGCTTATAATCGGAGAAATGCCTTGAGCAGATACAGTGCAGAGCATGAATTAAGGGAAAAACAGTTATACCAGGACAAGAATCCATGGCCCAGGCAGCAGCATTCAGTATCGTAAAGATACCCGCTGTATGGCAGGCTTGGGGTGAGAGCCACTCCTCCTGATAAAGGAGTTGTAGGACCTTGCTCCAATTCTTGTGGAAGGCTGCCCTCAGAATGGCAATCCACCTTGGTGACTGTGAACTTTATCAGCTCTTGTTACTGTGCTGCTTGAAACGAATCCATTGGAAGCTGCCAGAAGGTGGCGGTAACCTTGACAGCTCTGTCACTGCTATGTGACTTACAGCATCCTCCTATAAATCTTCTTAGAAGTAGTTTCCCATAGATAGAAGTATCGCACACTGCACCCTCTTCACTTTGCACGGCCCACCTTCAAGCCTCGGTGACCTAATGGGGGTGGACCCCTTACTGCACATGGCCCTTGCCTTCGTGGGAACGGAGTCCTTGCCTTCGTGGGAACGGGCCCCTTGCTGCACACTGTCCACCTCCTGGTCTAGTGACCTAATGGGGGTGGACCCTATGTTTTATTGCTCACGACCCTATCACTATCCTTTAAAGATGATTTCACTCACTGCCCTGCCCCCTAACCTACACACAATAAATACTCATGCTTCTGGACATTCGGGGCCTCCCCAGCCTCGCTTCGCCAGCCTCGCTGGCCTTGCCTGACTCTACTTATAGGTGGCGTGGCCTCCCGAGCCCAGCTGCATTTTATTTGTGTTTCTGTGTCCTGTCTCTTTATTTCTCGGATCCTGCGCCTCAGCGCAGCATAAGGCTCACCCCACGACCCTGTGGGGCACTCAGCCTTACATCTGGCTCCCAACGTGCCTTACAATTTGCTGTTATGAATAGACCATCTCTGGAAGGAGAGGCAAGCCATAGCAACTCTGGTTGGCCAGAAGACAGTTGGACAGGGATGGAGGGAACAGGGTTAGCTAGACAGGAACTGATGAGAAATTTCTCACTATATTATCTTGTTTTAAATTCAAAAGATACAACAGAATTGTGTTACCTATTCAAAGATAAGTAAAATTTAAGTTAAAAATTAAAAATTTAAGGCCAGGCGCGATGGTTATGCCTGTAATCCCAGCACTTTGGGAGGCTGAGGTGGGTGGATAACAAGGTCAGGAGATCGAGACCATCCTGGCTAACACAGTGAAACCCTGTCTCTACTAAAGATAGAAAAAACTAGCTGGGCATGGTGGCATGCGCCTGTAGTCCCAGCTATTTGGGAGGCTGAGGCAGGAGAATCGCTTGAATCCGGGAGGTGGAGGTTGCAGTGAGCTGAGATCGCGTCATTGCACTCCAGCATAGGCAACAGATCAAGACTCC